GCCCCGCCCTGCCTGGACGCCCACGCAGCCCGGTGCCCACCCTCCGGGGGCTACGTGAGGCCCGGACTGCAGCCCCTGCGACTGGGGGCTTCCAGGTCGAGTCACATAAAGACAGTGAGTCAGGCACAGTGGTGAAGCCGAAGCTGCGCTGAACACGGGCAGAGCCCGACGCAGCTCCGGAGAGGCCTCCGGGAGCAGGGAGGGTGCGCTGGGGAAAGATGGAGGGTGAAGCCGGAAGGAGACCTGCAGACATTGTCAGCAAACTCGGAACTATGGTGAGTCCAATGATTTTGTAGCAAACACGAGTCACTAAGTAATGACTTAGTGAAATAGGAAATGAGAAGAGACCAGTTACACTCAAATCTCCTCTTTCCAAGGAGCACCAGGCGGTTTTATTGGTGAATTTTACCAAATCTTTGGGAAATAAGCCCTCTCGCCTACGAAGTGCCCCAGAGGTTAGAAAGGGGTGAAGCCGAGAGTTTTACAAGGCTCTGAGCGTGCCCAGGGCCCACGTAGACCAGAGGGCAGCAACGGATGGTCACGTCCTCCCTGAAACGCAGACTCTGGATCTGGGCAACCCCGACTTACCGTCAGGACGTGGTTCAGACTTTCCCATTCACAGGATGAAACAGGAAGATCAGGATTTGTCCAGAACAGGCGGGTGATGAAGCGCCACACCCATTCTTAGCACACCTCCCGAACCTGCTAAATATGCACAGACCTGCATGGGTGGTCGTCTGCCTGGGCCGCTTGTTTGTTCACTTGCTGGGGTCACTGCTGCCATCCTGTCAGCCCCTGAGATGCCCGGGAAGGCAAAGGCAGCCACTGAGTATTCCCACTGAGGTCCGGGGCAGCGCAACAGGACGCGGAAGGTCGGGGGTCGAGAGAGAGAGAACTGCCCTCTGCAGAGGCGCCACTGCAGAGGTGGACGGCAGTGTGTGAGCGAGCGGGGAGGGGTCAGAGCCCCCACGGCGGGGAGGCCACGGTGCGAGAGCCGCACCGGGACCAGCGTGCAGAGAGGCCTGTGGTTACAACGTGAAGATGCGGGGACGCCTTTGTTCGCAGAGGCAGCTGCGCCCCGCCCAGAGGGTGTCCCCGGGGAGACCCGGGCCGGCTTACGTGTGGCCCGAGGACTGTTCTCCCTCGTTGCTGCTCTGTCTCATGATTCCACATGGGACAGAGCTGGGCCCGACGCGTGCACGGCACAGGCGGGCAACCTGAAAGAGAGCCGGCGTGTCTGCTGGGGCACGCTCCCCGTGCCAGCGGGCGTGTCTGCACAGGAGCCTCACCAGGCAGACCCAGGGAACCGGCGCAGGTGCCAGCAGCTTGGCCTGTGGGACCCAGGGTCGCAGTGGCACAGTGCAGCTGTGCCCCCAGAGATGGCCTTATGCCCCGGTGGCTCCTCAGGAAGTGCTGTGGGGACGACCGGCCGTCGCACGGGAGATGCACAGGGAAAGGCTGGGGCCCGCAGCACTGGAGCCGCCGCACCGGGAGCATGCGCCACAGGGACAGTTGGACCGCGCAGACGTCGTCAGACACCCATTTGGTCGGCCCACAGCTGGGAGGGGGCGGGCGTGTGCCCGGTGGAAGCCAGTGGTCCTGTCGGGCTCACCGGCAGAAGCAGGTGAAAGGTATGGAGAGGGGGCAGCCCGTGGCAGTGCCCCTGGCCACAGGTCCCTCACTGCCTCCTGCAGTGGACACCGCAGCGGTCATGCGCCGGCCCCCAGGCCTGATGGTGCTCTTCTCGTGCCTGTGGGCGAGCGCGAGGGGCTGAGCAGCCTGTCCACGTCCACGTCCCTGGATGGGGCAGCACTGCAGCCGGAGCTTTAAAAGAGGTGACTGGGTTCAGACGCACCCCGTAGTCCCGGCAAGAAGAAGGAGGCCATCAGTGTGAGCCTCTTCCCATGGGGTTGAGCCCCAAAGAGGAGAGATGGGCACGCAGGGACGCACCGGGAGTCCCCTGCAGGGGGGGGGCTGGCAGGCGGCAGGGCAGGCTGGGCCAGGTCCTGCTCGGGACCCAAGGAGACCAGCCTGCTGGCCTGACCTTGGCTGAGGCTCCCAGATCGTGCGCTGCCCGGATGGTGGGAGCCGCCATCTGTGGTGCTTGTCGTGGTGCCGTGGACACCAACGTAGCACGTGGGGTCAGCAGCCGCCACCACCGGGTGGTGCAGGTGCGTGCGGACCCCACAGCCCTGAGAGCATGCGAGGGGCCTGGGCGGGGCCCGGGGCACAGGGCCACCCTGGCAGCCTCACCAGGGCGGTGACGCCACTCGGCCCCCGAAGGCACATGTTTGCTTTGTGATGCGAAAGATTAGACAGAGTTCCCAGAAATGAACGTTTTGTGAGTTTATTTTCACTTTTTTAAAAGTTTTATTTATATATTTTTAGACAGAGGGGAAGAGAGGGAGAGAAATATTAATGCGTGGTTGTCTCTCGTGTGCCCCCTACTGGGGACCTGGCCCATAACTCAGGCAGGTGCCCCGACTGAGAATCGAACCAGCAACGCTTTGGTCCTCAGGATGTCACCCGACCCACTGAGCCACTCCACCCAGGGCTTGTGTTAATCTCGAATTCATGAATTAAGCCCTGTTGTAGGCACATACGCACAGGAAAAATTGTGGGGCACACAGGGTTCATTACTATCTGTGCAGGCACCACTGGGGTTTTGGAATGTGTCCCTGTGGATTTGGGGGCTGACAAATGCACTGATTGTTGAAACAGCCTGCCAGGCCCTCGGACGGGCAGACGGGCGGACGGGGACCATGTCTGTGTGTGAGTGTGGCCCGGCGTCGCCAGCCCTGAAGGCTCTGAAGGGAACTTGGTGTTGCTGTGAAGGGCCCGAGCAGAAGCCGGCAGGTGGCATCAGGCATGTGGCTCAAGAGCCAGAGCAGCTCTTGGCTGCGTTCGAGCGAGGACACACTGTGCGCAGCAGCCCAGGGTGCAGCCACGTTTCTGTAACAGCCAGAAATGCAGCACTGTGGGTGTTGCCTCTGTGGTCCCGGGGGGCTGGGCCCCTGCAGTCCTCAGTGCCTCCATGTGGCTGCCTGGGTCCTGTCCTTGCAGCAGGGGAAAAGGAACCGACCAGAGGCCTGCTGCCCCCGGGACAGGCTACATGGTGCCGCTGCTAGGGGCGGGAGGGGGACTGGCAGGGTCTGCTTGGTGGCCTCGCCCACTTTTCCTCCAGGCAGGAATGAGCCTCTGACTGGCAAACCCAGCGGTGCCGGCCTACCAGGGGAGGCAGGAAATTCAGGGACAGCAGCAATGTCCTGCAGGGGGCCCTGCTCCAGACAGTGGTCCCTCGGGGAAGGGAGGGCGGGTGCAGAGAGCACGCTCGGCTCCTGTGCATCGGGCCATCTTTCTCAGAAAGAGCAGAGGTTGGTGTGGAGAACACCTTTCATTCTTTGTGGTGGAGATGCAGAGACGGTGCCGTTACTCTCTGTAAGCTTTCTGGACTCACGGTTGTGTTTCAGAAACCAAGCCAGGCCCACTTCTCTGGGATGCGGTGCCGGAGCAGGCAGACAGCGGCCGGAGGGAAACACTGGGCTGTGCCTGTCTCGGGCGTGCAGGCCGTGAGTGCCCACAGCCAGCCGGCGCTGCCGCCGTGCAGAGTGGCCGCCCCGAGTCAGTGAGAGTCATGGTTTGCGGGCATTGGTGTTTGTTCACGATTCCCTTGGGGGCCAAGAGTTAGGAAGCAGATCTCGAATTTGGCCGCCTGCGTTGCAGACCCCCTGGCGTTCTCTCTGGACGGGGGCTGGATGAGGAACAGACCCCCTTTTCCTGTGTCTGTTTGCAGACAGTCCTTTCTGGGCCTTTGTGCTGTTTGCACACAGAGGCGGAATAACCAGGCATGTGTGGGTGTGCACAGTCACAGGGGAGGGGCCCCTGAGCGCCTGTGATGAGGCCACATCCAGGGGAGGTTACTGTGCCTCTGGCCACGGCCACCGCATGCTGTGGACGGCGCCCACTGGAGCCCCCCCCACAGAAGACGAGTGGAAGGAAACTGGGAGACACCGGTTGAAAAGTGCTGAGGGGCCCCTGTCCCTCCTGGTTCACGGGAATCGGGCGCCAGTTGGGCCTGTGGGGCTGCAGTGGGCGTGCCGTTAGGTCTGTGGCTTCTCCGATTCCCGAAACGAGGCTTTTCGCACGTAGCGTGCAGCACACCTCACCCTGCCCCACGCTCGTGTGCGCTCCACCTGAGCCCTGCGCCCGTAGTTGCTCCTTCAGCTCTGCCCAGCCCCTGGCAACCGCCTGCCCACTCGGGCCGTGTGCCTGCCAGGGCCCTGTGTTCGGGGCTGCTGTCGGGGCCGGTGTCCCCGCCCCTGGTGCTGCCATGGGCTTCAGTGCCTGTTCACCACCCTCGTTTCTCTTCTGGTGAAACGTCTGTGCAGGTCTTCTGCCCATTTTATTTTTACTTATTTAAAAATTAAAGTTTTCTTCAATCGCAGTTGACATTCAGCCTCGTTTGTGAGTTTCAGGTGTCCTGCGTGGTGGTTACAGACTCATTTCCTCCACACAGTGCCCCTGTGTGTTCCATGCCCCCGACACCACTCGCAGTTGTGGTGACATCTCCTCCCTGTGCTGGACTTCATGTCCCTGGGACTGGTCTCTGCCTGCCCGTTGCACTGCTTGGCCCTCCCCCTTGGAGGCGAAGTAGGTGGGCAGGCCCGTGGGGCAAGGAGGTTATGGGTGCTGGCACCCTGGTCCCTGGGGGCATGCCTGGTCTACCCACCCTCTTCTGTCTGCCTGTCTGCGGACCCTCGCCCGGCCACCTCCATGAGAGGGAGACCCGCCTCTAGGACCCTCTGAAGAGGGGCACCTGGCCACGGCCTGGGGCGCTGAGGGGAGCTCAACGCAGGCGGGCACCGAGGTGGCCCCCAGGCGGTCTGGCCAGGGCTCCTGGGAGCCTTGATGGCCAGTCCACTGTGGCAGCCAGGGGCGCCCCTGGAGCTCGAGCAGTGTGGATGGGGGGCCACTCCTGAGCAGGGCCGGTGTCCTTGCAGGTTGTGCAGCCTGACCCTGAAGAAGCTGGTGGTCTTCCAGGAGCTGGAGAAGGAGCTCCTGTCGGTGGTGATCGCTGTGAAGATGCAGGTGAGGCCACAGGCCAGGCTGTGCCGGCGCCCTGCTGCCCAGGTGAGGGCGCAGGCACACGGGAGGCCGGGCCAAGTGTCTAGGGAGTAGAAATGGGGGCGGGCCCTCCTGCACCCACACCCCCTGCCTGCCACCCGCCACCCTGACGCGGTGCTCTCACCACTTGCCTGGGGCCGAGATGCTCGCGGGTCTTGCTCCCTGTGGGCACAAGCGAGCCACCGGGTTTCAGGAGGCCAGCTTTGGCCTTTGTGGGGGCCCCTGGGTCCCAATGGGTGGCAGCTCTCAGCCCCGCCGTCCCCCGCAGGTGCGAGGCCCAGCACCGGCTCACAGGCCCCTGCTGGGGGGTGTCCTGCTGTGGCCTCGCTGCTGAGCTTCAGTGGGAACCAGTGCCTGTGCTGCCAGGACCCCTGAGCAGCCCCACAGGCAGAGGCCCTGTGCCCCAGGTTGTCACCGCTGTGGCTGCCTAGGCTGCCGGCCTGCAGCTGTGGGGGCCCGACAGCCATGCTCGCCTCCAGCTCCTAAGTGAGGGGGCCTGAGGCCTGACTCGCCCACCCATCAGTTGCCACCATCCCCACAGGGTCACTCTTTTGAGTAAAGGTCTGAAGAAATCAATAGTTTCCTCCCCGAAGATGCCGTCGTCAGTGCTCAGCATCAGAGCCAGCCCTGGCAGGCTGCATGCGGGACCCCGGGCTGGGGAGGGGTCTGGGTCTCATCGGGTCTTCAGGATGAGGTGGGGCTGACCCACTCTCGCCCCTGAAGCTGGCACTGTTGACCTCCGACCCCGACCCGCCCGCACCCTGGCCTTAGCCCTCCGCTCCCCCAGCTGCCGTCTCCGTGGTCCCAGCCAGACCCTGTCACTCTTGAGATCCAGCCGCACAGGGTCCTAGGCCCCTGGGAGCCTCCCTCCCTCTACAGTTTACCCTGGGCGCCCGGCACCCACCTGCCCCACGTGGTGCCGGGCCAGCAGGCCCTGTCCGGACCAGCACCTTCTCAAGTGTGGGGTGTGCTCTGGGGCAGGTCGGAGGTCAGGGCCTGTGTGTTCTACAGGTGATTTGTGTTGCACTGTCACAGGCGCTTAGCGGTGGCCTTTCCCACTGTCCGGGCGGCTCACGCGCACACACGCTGGTCTTCCTGTGCAGCCACGTGCCCAGCTACTTCTAGACGTCTGCCATTGTCCCTGTGCTGTGACTCCGCCACTGCGCCTTAGTCAGTGACCTCCAGGGGGTGGTCACCTGTCCCCGCCTGTGTCTGCAGCAAGGCCTGGACCCCGAGCCTCTCCCAGCCCACACAGCCTCTGCGTCCATGCAGTTGCTGTGGGTCTGTGTGCTCTGGGCTGCTCGTGGCTCTGAGCCACATCAGCAGGGGGCTCGGGGTCAAAGGATGTGGACGTCTGTAAGGCTCGTGACAGACCTCCCCTCACACGCCCCAGCCCTCGGCTCCTCCTCCTGAGTTAAGGGGAGGGACAGTCTAGCTGCTGTCCCTAGGAGGCACTCCCCCTGCAGGAGACCCTGTCTTCTCTTCCAGGGCTCCAAGCGCATCCTGCGGTCCCATGAGATCGTGCTGCCCCCCAGTGGACAAGTGGAGACTGACTTGGCACTGACCTTCTCCCTGCAGGTGGGCCCTCCCGGTTTACCAACACCCCCTCCCGCTGCCTCGGGCCCCCGACTGTAGGCCCTGGTCGGTTCGGGCTAGGGCGGTTCGGGCTAGGGCGAGCAGTTCATCCGGGTCTCCTCACAGAGCGCGAGCAGTGAGGTTGAGAACTCGAGTGACAGGTTGCGGCTGTTTCCTTCCTGTGTTCGAAAAAGGTGGGGAGGAATGTGGGCAACTCAGCGGCGTGAGCTCGGACCCCTGTGCAGTGCTGGGTGTGCTGGCGGGGAGTGTGCCTCTGTTTGCAGCAGACACCCCAGCATGAAACAGCTGCACCCCCTGCCCGACTCGGCCCAGAGCCCAGAGCAGCCCTGAACCGGCCTGAGGGCGGCCGTCCTGCCTGCGTGTCTGCAGGCAGTATAAAGACCCTTGTGGCCCAGAAGTGGCTGGCAGCTGCTTCTCGCCATGCGTGTGCTGGGAGTGTAGAGCCGTCTCCGGCGTGGGTCCTCCCACCTGCTGCACCCACCACACCCCCACTTCTGCTGGGGCCTGAGGCAGGGCTGCGGTCTCGAGAAACCCCACGAGTCCTACCGGCAGCCCCTGGTGCCCAGCTCTGCCTGGTCAGCTCTCTGAGCCCTGTGTGCCTGGGCTCTGGGCCAGTTCTCTGCTTTGGGGGTCCAGGCTATTAATGGGGCACAGTTTCCAACACGTGTGACTCACCCTGTTGCACCCGTGGCTCTGCAAGCGCGGAGAGCTGTGCTCGGTGTGAGCCAGCACCACGGTGGGTGCAGGTGGCCCGTCGCCTGCCTTCCAGGCCAGCGTTTACTCATGAGCCTGCAGGAGACTCGTTCGAGCTTGCTCCCGACACATGTGGTCTGTGGCCCACATGTGGTGGGGAGGACGTGTCCTTGGCCCTGGCCCGACACCCTCGAGAGCCGCATGTCCGCCCCCGTGGGCTGTTAGCGTTGCCCCAGCTGGTGGCCACCCTGGGTGGACCCCTGACCTGGGGTGTGCTCACAAGCCCTCTTGGGTCGGCTTGGGTGGACGGCAGTGTGGCCCCTCCCCCCACAGTACCCCCACTTCCTGAAGAGGGAAGGCAACAAGCTGCAGATCATGCTGCAGCGGAGGAAGCGCTACAAGAACCGGACCATCCTGGGCTACAAGACGCTGGCCGTGGGCGCCATCCACATGGCCGAGGTGAGGCACCGGGCAGCCCTGTGCTCCCCCACTACGGCTCTGCCAGGATGGCCCCCGTGGCTCAGAAAAGCTTTTGCCCGGGCGTGGGTGTGACCTGTGCCCTCCCAGGAAGTACCCTTCACATGCTTCCCCCACCGGTTTCTTTGATGCCTGTGTCCCACCGAACAGGCACTGGCTTGTCCAGCAGGACGGCTGGTGAGGCTCGGGCTGCCTGGTGGGCGGCACGCACGCTCAGTGGGTCGGGTGACAGGAAGTTTGTTGCCTGGTGAGGAAATGAGGGGACCAACCATCTGACACCACCTGCCGTGGGGCAGCCAGTGCCCCAGGCATCAGTGCGGGGCACACGCAGGAGAAGAGGCCCGGGCGCTGTGTGTCCCCTGGGCCCTGGAGTCTCCACCATCATGGGGCAGTGTTCAGGGTGTCAGGGGCCCTCTGGGACTCGGAGTGGGGTGGGTGTCCTGTGGCACAGGGCAGGGCCCTGGGCAGTGGCTGGGCCATGAGCCACACACACGTGTATTCACGTCGTGTGGGCCGTGGTCTTGTCTAGGAGTGGCTGTCTGCACACCGCTTGCTTCTGTTGTGGCCCCTAGGCAGCTGGGCTGCGGACCCTCCTCACTGACAAGCAGCTGTCCTTTGTGGCTGCACCTGGTGCTGGCCACCCCCACTTGGCCCACCCATGTGGCCCCTGTGTCCACTCTGGTCTTACTGCCGCAGGGGCCCCTGCTCTGTGGTCCTTCCTAACATGGCGCCTCCCCCAGGTGATGCAGCGCCCCCCCGAGGGCGGCCAGGTGCTGAGCCTCTGCAGCAGCGTCAAGGAGGCCTCTGCCAAGGTGGCTGAGATCTGGATCTTCTCCCTGTCCAGCCAGCCCATCGACCATGAGGATAGCGCCATGCAGGCTGGACCCAAGGCCAAGTCCACAGGTGACTGACACGTCCCTGCTTCCCTGCCACCTTCTGGCCGCCTTCCTCGGGGTTGGAGATGTCAGGAAAGGGCAGTGGTCTGTGGCTGCCTTGGCCTGGCTGCGGCACAGCCCAGCTTTGCTTCCAGTGGCTGTGACATCACATGTGAGGAGAGGTCGCAGGGTCGATCACAGTGCCTTCTGGGTCTGGACGCAGGTCCTGGCATGGCCTGTCACCACTGTCACAGCCGTGCTCACTGTGCCCTGTGGGGTGACGGGCAGACAGGGGCCCAAGTCCAGCATGAGTCGCAGGCTGAAATGCACCTGGCAGGCGGGGCTTGGGGATGGAGGAGGGCTTTTGGGAGCGGAGAAGTGCGGCCTCGCCCTCCCTCTGCCAGGGCTGCCCGGGCCCTGCTCCTGCTGCCTGGGGCTGTCCCCTCCAGTTCCTGATAGCGAGGGGGCCTGACAGTGGGTGGTGGCCTCATTGCTAGGATACTGGGTGGAATCTTGAGGTGCTGACCCTTCCACGTGCTCATTCCGCAGATAACTACTCTGAGGAGGAGTATGAGAGCTTCTCCTCCGAGCAGGAGGCCAGCGATGATGCCGCGCACGGGCAGGTAGCCAGCCGCTGTGGCAGGACCCCAGCGGACGGCCCAGGACCCTCCAGAGCTGCTGCTGTGGGGGGGCACTGGGCAGGGGGCTGTGTCTCGCCCCAAGTGCATAGGCAGGCGCACAGGGCCACTGGAAAGAGGGCTCCCTCTGTCAGCCCTGGGGGGCGGGGTCCCTGGGTCCCCAGTGGCTGCCCTGGCCCCAGGTGCCATGTCTCCACAGGACTTGGATGAGGACGACTTTGATGTAGGGAAGCCCAAGAAGCAGCGGCGATCGATAGTAAGAACGACGTCCATGACCAGGGTCCGTGGAGTGTGGTTTTACTAACCTTGGGGAATGGCGGGGGCGGGGGTGGCGTGCAGGGGGCGGGCAGCTTGAGTGAGCTTCTGGAGGGTCCAGGAGTGAAGTGGCCACCCCTGGCCCTGGGTGGCGCATGTAATTGGTCTCTTCTGAGGTGCAGTCTCTTCCCCCAGAGGTGGCATGAGGGCGGGAAGAGGCCAGGCCCTGACCCTGGCCTGAGAGGGGCTGGCGTGGTGCTTAGCCTTTAGCTAGAGCTCCCCTGGCAGGCGATGGTCTGCAGGGCCTCCCCAGGCTCACCAGAGGGCAACAGTCCCCACTCCACTGGTGCCCAGATGTGCCCTGTGCGGGCCGGTCCCCAGGCCCCTGTTTCAGTTCAGCAGCTGGCCTGCCCAGCACAGTGGGTGGCCCCGGGGGGTGGGGCTGGCAGGACTGTCAGGCTTCTCCAGGGGAAAGTCCCAGGATGGGGCCTCAACCTGTCACAGAGGGCCCCCCACTGTGTGCCCCAGTCCTCAGTCGGGCAGCATAGTAGGGGGCCAGGGCTGGTCCCACGTGCTGGTTGCAGCTGCCCCCACAGCTGTGGATGGAGAGCAGGGGGGCAGGCGCGGCCTTCGGTAGAGTAACCCGCTCCCACCCCTTGAGGGTAGCTGGGAGGGGCCAGTGCTGAGCCCCCACCTGGAGTCCAGCCAGGGAGGTCGTGCCAGCGGGAGGTGCTAGCCCCTAGGCAGGTGGGCAGGTGCACACGCTCCGGGCTCTGGACCTGCGGTGGAGCTGGTGCCCCTCCCTGGGTCCGGTTCTGCGTCCCACCGCGGCGGCGGCGGAGGTTTGGGTGCTGGAGGAAGTGCCTGTTGTTCAGCTTGCGAGAGCGCTTGTGAGTCCGTGAACGCTGCAGCAGGCTCCGGCAGGACTCGGGGCCAGGCCGGCCTCCCTTGTCCACCTCAGGGAGCAACCTCGCAGGCTCTGACTCAGTCCCCTCCTCTCACAGCAACAAAACTTCAAGCAGAAGGTCGTGGCCCTGCTGCGCAGGTTCAAAGTGTCCGACGAGGTGAGTTAGCCACGCCCCCCTCTGCCACCCCGCGCACCTGGCTGCGTCTGCAGCGGAGGCGGTGAGAGCGCCTGCTGCGCGCCCTGAGCTCTGACTTGATGGCCACACCCCGGGGAGGCCACGTGTCGTCCTCTGGGGGGCTGCGGCCACCAGTCTGTTTTGTGTGTTTTTATGACTTTTTTGGAGCAGTTTTCGGTTCACCACAAAATCAAGCAGAAAGTACAGATGCCACAAGCCCCACCCCCACTCAGCCTCCCCACTGACAACACACCAGGTGGCTTTCAACATTTTTTCCTTTTTGGCTTTTCTGTAGTCTCCAAGTCTTCTATAATCAGTTCACATAACTTTTTCTTAAGACTTTATTTTTAGAGAGAGGGAAGAAGAGAGGAAGAAAGAGAGGGAGAGAAACATCAGTGTGTGGTTGCCTCTGGTGCACCCCTTACTGGGGACCTGGCCCACAACCCAGGCACGTGTCCCAACTGGGAATTGAACCAGTGACCCTTTGGTTTGCAGGCTGGTACTCAACCCACTGAGCTACATCAGCCAGGGCTATATAACCTTTGTAACCAGAAGAAACATGCTTTTTTTTTTTAAATGTGGTCAGAGGAAAATTAGTTCCAAGTTTAGAACTTACCCAGAGAGGGGGGACTTGAGCCTCTGAGCTCCTGGTGTTCCAGTGCAGCCGTGGTGCCCATCAGAATGGCTCACACATGGGGAGCCACCCTGGCTGCAGCCGTCAGCACCACCCCTCGCGCCGCTCCAGTCCCAGCCAGCTGCCACTCACCAACATCAGCCAGCAGCTCTCCTAACACGTCGTATGTGGGAATGCAAGGGGCCTGGACTGCACCTTCGTACCTCACGTCAGACCTCGAGGCTGTGGCCACTGGGCAGTGCTCACAGCCCAGAAATAAGCCCAGTTCGGGGCAGTTGGCATCCACAGGATGCCAGGGCCGTGCCGTGGGGAAACAGCGTTTTCAGCAAATGCTGATGGAACACCTGGGTATCGACATGCGAAGAATGGAGTCGGCCCCTGCCCCACACCTGCACAAAAGAGATCGGAGACCTAAATGTGGGAGCTAAACTGCGGAACTGCAAACACCACCAGGAAAACAGAACCGCCCGTGAACCGAGAGCGTCTGTGCAAGTCCCGTGACCGCGGCTGGTACGCAGGACACAAGAACGTGGACGGCTCGGAGAGCTCTGCGGGGGCCTGGCAAGGTGTTTTCTCCAAAGACCCACGGGTAGCCAGTAGGCCTGTGAACAGAGCTTGGTGTCCCTGGTCATCGGGAATGCAGGCCAGGGCCACAGTGACACCAGGTGGCCACAGAGTGACACAGAGCAAGGACAATGGGGACATGGGTGGTGTGGCACCCAGGACGCAGCCTGGTGGTGCCTCAGGAAGTTCGGTGCCTGTGCTCGCGGGAACAGGTGAGGGTGGGGACAGGTGCAAGGGTGGCAGCTGGACCCAGCAGCGCTGGACGCCTCGGGGCCCATCGGCTGGATGGCTGAACTCGGGTCCTTGGTTCCATGGTACATGACCCAGCGGCGAAAGGGAGCCCACTGTTGGCAGGACACGGTGCCAGGCTGTGTGCTGTGTGGCTCCACTCGTGTGGCCTCCTGGAAAAGGCCACGCGCATGGGGACAGGTGGGGGCACTGGGAGGGCAGGGGCTCCCTGGGGAAGCCTCTGCATCCCAACCACGGCGGTGGCTCCACAGCGAGGTGCCCGTTCCAGCCTCACAGTCCAGACGGGGCGTCCAGGTGCCAGGACACACCTCCCTCTGTGTGGCGTCCAGGGGGTCTCCCCAACGTTGGGGACGATCGGGCTGGGGGAGCAGATGGGGTTGTGTATGGACCTGTGCCCTTCTGTCCTGCAGGCGCACCCACCCAGACACAGCAGCCCTCACGTATCTGCCCTCGCCGCAGGTCCTGGACTCGGAGCAGGACCCCGCAGAGCAGGTCCCCGAGGTGGAGGAGGACCTGGACCTGTGTGACACGCTGGACGCAGAGAACCCCAGTGACAGCGGCCCTGACACGGAGGATGATGACAGCGTCCTCAGCACCCCCAAGCCCAAGCTCCGGTGTGTGGTGGCCACGGGGCGCGGGTGTTAGGGAGCCAGCACTCGGGTATGGATGTGGGATGTGGGTGTAGGGACATGGGGGTTCCTGCAGGTGTCCCAGGAGAAGGGCAGATGGCAGGAGCCAGGCCGCACTCTGGAAAGCTCCTGGGACCGTGGGCGTCTGTCCGGGACAGGATGTATGTGGGGGACAGAGAGGCCGGCTGTGTGGGCTGGGGTCCAGTGGGATGCAGGCTGGGCAGCGGGTGCTCCCAGGTGCTTACTGGCCCAGGTGCGGCCCTGCAGCAGGAGGGGGATCAGGAGGAGAGCAGCACAGGTGTGGGGTGAGGCACGGCCCCTCAGGGTGCCGACCTGTCTGCCACGTGCAGTGGCGTCCCTCTCACGGTTCCACGTCCCCACGTGGCTTTGTCACTAGATATTTCAAGTCCCACCCATGACTTTAGCCTGAACTGTCTTCTAAGTCCCTTTGAACCTGTACATCCCCTTCCTCCTCCACAGTCTCTCCCTGCTGGTGGGGTTGTAGGCTGTGGCCGGCACCTGTGCCACCAGCTTTCTGGGACACAGGCTGGTCCTGAATGGTGGAGGAGCCGAGTGGCCTTGGGCCACCCATGCCCTCCCTCACGCCACCGTTCTTAAGGGCAGAGGGCCGTCTGATGACGCCACTTTGCCCTGAGAACCCCATCAGGAGCGGAGGCTTTGCCTTCAGTGATAGGGAGGGTCTGGAGAGTGACCCCCCCACCCCCACGCCCAGGCCGTACTTCGAAGGCCTGTCCCACTCCAGCTCGCAGACGGAGATCGGGAGCATCCACAGCGCCCGGAGCCAGAAGGAGCCTCCGAGTCCGGTGAGCGAGTGCTGGGCCTAGGCCACCCTGCTCTGCTCTGGGGCAGCTGGGCAAGGAGAGGTCTGCCGTGACCCTCTACCGTCGTCCCTCGGGGGGCCACAAACACGGTGATGCCGGACACACCCAAGCTGACGTGCCACTGGCTCTGCCCAGTGGCAGGGTCTCCCTGCCCAGCTCCCCACGAGTGCTACTGGGCAGCCCTGAGCCCACACCCACGAAACCCCCGGCCGGTCTCCTGGGCCGCCTCCGACCCAGCCCTCTGCCCAGCACGGAGGCCTGGCGTCCAGCCTGATCCCACCTCCTTCACACAGGCTGACGTGCCGGAGAAGACGCGGGCCGTGGGCGGCAGGCCGCCCAGTGACAGCATCCCCGACTCGGTGGCCCACGTAAGCAACGCAGGCCGTGTGCACTCACTGTTCACGCCCAGACCCCTTCAACACACTGCTCTCGGGTCTGACGGGGGGCGGGGCTGGATACACAGGCCTTCTCCTCTCACCTCCAGGACCCGTGTGCAGAGCAACATGGTGGGCAGCGGGTGTGCCCTGCTTTGCTGTTGGGCACAGGCCCCAGGATGTAGATTGGTCACTGCTGCCCTCAGGCTCTCAAGGGACTTTCCTGGGCCATGGGGCAGGTTTGAGGAGCTTTGGTGCTGGCCTCCTGGGGACCCGGAGCAGGAGCCTGGGGGCGGGAGGCCAGGTCTGTGTGGCTCTTGGGCGGCATGCGGCTGTGCCCACGTGTAGGGAAGCACCAGCCTGAAGGGGGCCTGAACAAGCCCCCAGACCGAGAGGGCGCTCCCGTGCCGCAAGCGTGTCCCCGACAGCGTCCCCTCCCAGCAGAGCACTCCAGCCCCTGCGGAGCCACTGGCTCAGCCCGAGGACAGCCCAGAAGCGGAGACCTCCACCCTGGACGTGTTCACCGAGAAGCTGCCGCCCAGCGGACGCATCACCAAGACCGAGTCTCTCGTCATCCCCTCCACCAGGTGACAGGCCGCCCTAGGGAGGCCATTGGCTGGGCAGCACCGTGTGGGAGGGACCCTTCTGTGGGATGCAGGCACATGTCACAGGCGGGCCCGGCTACTGATGGAACCACTTGAGCAACACGCCGAATTCTGGGTGCACCCAGAGGTACACACCGGCTGTGACTGCCCCCCTTGTCACTAGCTGCTGGCAGGTGTGATGGTGGCTGCCAGCGCCCCTGCAGCTGGTGCCTGTGCAAGGCTCTGCTGCTGGAGGGGCTGTGCCAGAGGGCGGCACCCCCTGAGCCCGTGGTGGGGCTCCCGGAGAGCTAGGTCGTGAGCACACGGGCCAGTCTGTGCTGGTCCCACAGGTCTGAGGGGAAGCAGGCTGGCCGCCGGGGCCGGAGCACGTCGCTGAAGGAGAGGCAGCCGGCGCGGCCACAGAACGAGCGGGCCAACAGCCTGGACAACGAGCGCTGCCCGGACACTCGGAGCCAGCTGCAGGTGGGTGGGCACCCCTGCGGCGGCCTGAGGCCGGGCTGCCCCGGAGCTCGGCCTCCCGCTGTCTGACTGCTCCTGTGCCCGCCTGGCCCTGCACTGCCCGTAGCCCCGTGGCCTCTGCCCAGAGCCAAGTGCTGCCCAAATTGGGTGCTGGTGGGGTCACGGGGAGGGGGCACGGCACTCTCTTGCCCAGTGAGGACAGGCCTGTGTTCAGATCCCCAGGAAGACCGTGTACGACCAGCTCAACCACATCCTGGTCTCCGACGACCAGCTGCCGGAGAACATCATTCTCGTCAACACCTCCGACTGGCAGGGGCAGGTGGGGGCCAGTGTCCTCCCTGGGGGGTGTGGGCTAGGGGTGGCCAGAGACCCACCGCCACGCTCGTCCCCAGTTCCTGTCGGACGTCCTGCAGCGGCACGCACTGCCCGTGGTGTGCACCTGCTCCGCGGCCGACGTCCAGGCGGCCTTCAGCACCATCGTCTCACGGATACAGAGATAGTAAGTCTGCCGGGGCGGCCTGAGCCCGGCCCGGCCTGCGGGTCCCGGCGGGTGGTGCAAGGCGCAGAAGTGGCCGTGGCGGGGCCATCGGGGGGCCTGGCGTTCAGCAGCTGCAGGGGGGTCGTGAGTGGTTGGGACAGTGCCCCGTGAGCATGGCCCCTGAGCCACTGCCCCTCTCCTGCCACGGACCAGCTGCAACTGCAACTCCCAGCCGCCGACGCCTGTGAAGATCGCGGTGGCAGGGGCGCAGCACTACCTCGGCGCTGTGCTGCGGCTCTTTGTGGAGCAGCTGTCCCACAAGACGCCAGACTGGCTGGGCTACATGCGCTTCCTGGTCATCCCACTGGGTGAGCGTGCGTCTGCCCTTGAGGACACCCAGGGCCAGGGCGGGTGTCCGTCACCCAGCACAGTGCAGGGCCGGCCGCTGCCCCCTGAGCAAACCCGTGACAGCAGCCTGCGCCTGTTTGGGTGGCACCGTTCGTTCTGGAAACACCTGAGCGTGTCGGTCACATCCCAGGGACCGTCCCTGGGATGTGCCGAGCCCTGGGGGCCACCCTCGGGGGCGGCCCGGCGAGGGCCACGAGGGTGCGGAGCTAGGGCAGGCCTCACGCCCTGACCTGTCCCACCCGCAGGCTCCCACCCGGTGGCCCGGTACCTGGGCTCCGTGGACCACCGATATCACAACTTCTTCCAGGACCTGGCCTGGCGGGACCTGTTCAACAAGCTGGAGGCCCAGAGCGCCGGTGAGGCTGGGGTGTCCACACCACCACCGCCTGTTAGGACCAGGGTCTGTCATCTCCCAAGACAGACCCCCATGCTCCCCCCTTCCTGAGGCCCTGGCCACACCTGAACACCTGGTGGGGGTGGCAGCTGACAGGGCCCCAGCTAGGATGCATTCCTCTGCCACCATGAGCCCCGAGGGTGGTGACCAGGGCCTGGGCTGGTGGAGGCAGGGCCCTGGACCCCGGGGGAAGCTCCTCAGGACTTGGAGAGGCTTTACTGCCCTCACCTGGGACCTCGTGTGGGTGGCGTCTGCCGCTGGGCTCTGGCTGCTGGGCAGCCCCAGGACGTGGAGTGGGACCAGCACCGCACCTCACGGCCCCACGTGGACACCTCATACAGTGCAGGACACACTGGACATCGTGTCAAGGGTCACTCAGTACATCGCAGGGGCCAACTGTGCTCACCAGCTGCCCATTGCGGAGGCCATGCTCACCTACAAGCAGAAGAGGTATCCTGGGGGGCCCCATCCTAGGTGGTGAGGGCAGGCGACAGGGCCCCCAGCCCTACTTTATGGGCCCAGGTGGTGCAGAAGGGACCTTGAGTGATGGCCCTGAGGAACAGGTGCAGGGGGCTGGGCAGGCTGGCTGCGCTCCCGTTGTCACGTGTGCCGTGAGTTCCCGTAAGAAAAGCTTGGACATTGAGGTGCCCAGCCCCCGCACTGACTGGCACCCCCGGCTGGGAGACCAGTTCTCGCCCTGCCCCGAGCAGGACAGTGGTCAGCAGCAGGCCCCAGGAGCCTGGCCTGGTGCAGTGGCCAGACTAGGTCTGCAGTGGTGGGGACTTAGGGGGCTGAGTGGCCCCTTTTGGGCCGAGCCTGGGACCTGGCAGGTCCTGTGGGGAGGAGAGCCGGATGGGCGGCCCGGCGGCCAGTCAGACACAGCATAGTGCCCCTGCGTCAATCCGTGGGTCGGGAGCAGCTGCTCTGTCACCGAGGGGCCGAGGGGCCTTGGCCTGTCTCGCTCTCAGCCGCTGCCCCGCTGAGTGGGAACCTCCGCTGGCCGAGCCAGGGCTCCCTAGCATAATAACATTTCTGTGTTTTCTCCCTGGTGGCTTTCTGGAAAAGGAGAAAGAACTTTCACTTTGACTTTGCCCTCAGGTACCGCTGTCTCGGGGTCTGCTTCCATCTCTCCCCGGCTGGTCTTTAGGGCTGTTTAGCAGTGTCGGCAGGTGGGGGTGCGTCTGGAAGGGCGGGTGGCCAGGCTCCCTTCTCCCACCCGGCCCGAGGAGCAGACCGGACCCTGCTGCAGCCGCTGCCCGCTGGCGGCCACCACACGCTGCAGCCTGCAGTCACCCGGGCCCCTCTGTCTCGGTCCCGAGATTCGATTTAAGAAGTGGCTACGCCAGGCGCTGTTTCTCAGCTTGGAAGCGGGGGTCTGAGATCGAAGCTCGAGCTGCTGCCCGCTGCCCGCTGACACCACTCACCTCGTGCGGGCCCCACCCCCAGCTCTGGGTGGGCGTGAGCACTGGGTGCTGGCCCTCATGGCCCCAGGAGGGCGAAATGATGCTGAGCCTCCCTGTGGGGACGCTGTGGCAAGCGAGGATGGGGTCTTGCCCAGTTGACACAGGGGTTAGTGCCCCCAAACAGGCTTTTCCCGGCGGAGTCCTTTGGCCAGACTGCTAGGAACTCGTGCTTTTGGGTAGGGTTCTTCACTCCAGGGGGTTCCCCACCCCAAAAACCGGTCTGTTGAGAGCCAAACATGGGGCGCCTGCAGGGTGGCCCCTCTCTGGGTGCTCTCTGCCCCAGGGTCTGGGGTTACCTGCTCCCTGGGAAAGCCCCAGGGCAGGGTTGCAGCCCCTGTGCTGTCCTGCTAAACAAGCCTAGGGGCTCGAGAAAGACCAGCCGTGGTAACTGCTGCCCCTGAGCCGTTTCTTGGTGTAGCAGCTGCTCCGTGTGGGCCATGGCGTGAGGACCCCACAGCACGCCCGCTGCCTGGGCCCAGCTTCTTGCCTCCTCCCCCCGCCCCCCAGCTGGCCGGTCTGAGCAGAAAGCCAGGTCATTGGGAGAGCCCGGCTCTCCCTCCCGTGCCTGCCACCCCGCCTTGCATTACAGGGGTGGTACCAGTGCCCAGGGGAGTTGGAGGCTCCAGGTACCCTGGACGAGCCCGTGAAGGCTTGCATGTTGGTCCCACCCTCGCCCCTGAGTCCAGGGCCTGGAAGTTAGCATGTTCGCCTTTGCCTACTGGGGTAGACAGCCCACTTCTGTCCACCCAGGAGACCCAGGAGAGGAGGGCACTGGGCACAGCCCCCTGGCCCCTTGCTAGTGAGAGCCCCCAGGAGTACTTGCCAGAGGGTCCTGTGTGACCACCTGTTCCTGGCCAGCGGTCAGACACACCTGCCCTGTGCAGCCCACAGCTCCCGGGTGAGGGGGTGCTCGGCGCCCTGGTCCCTGACGTGAAGGTGAAGCTTGTGTGAATCCAGGGGTGCAGCCACCCCAAGGATGCCTGTGGTCCCTCCCCTCTGTATCCGGGGTTCGGGTTGACGCCATGTGTCCCAGTGGCCAGCCAGTGTCATCCCTGTCACGCTGGGCCTGTGTCAAGGGCTGGGTGTTGTGTGCATGGCCCTGGGTGCAGCTTGGCTTTGAGTCTTGGCAGCAACCCTGTGCTGTGGCGTTTCCTGGGTCTCGGCCCCTCCAGGCCCTCGTCTGCCTCCCTATGTGCTGCTCTCGGTAGGGGTCATGGGGACCGGAGCCTGCTGGGCACTGGGCCTGGGGTGCCAGGGCTCCTTCCTGGGCCACCCTGCATGCAGCAGCCTGGACACCCACCTCGGGACGGGATGTTTTCTCCTCCAGCTGCACTCCCCTCAGAAAGCGGGGGTGGGCTGGGAGCTCAGTCCTCCTCGTGGGGCGGAGCAAAGCTGCAGGTGCTTCTGCCCCAACATTTGTGCTGGGTGTTCCACAGAGGTGCCGTGGCGGCGCAGGGTAGGGACCTCGGGTCCCCGTGCAGGTGATGCCTGGAGGGGGGTGGCTGGCATCCACTCACCGCAGGCCCTGGCCCGCTTGTCCAGCTCATGGGCACACTTGGTGGGCAGCTGCGGTGGGGGCGAGGCTCCGGGAGTGGGTGTCAGAGAGGAAGGTCAGCCCTGTATCCAGTGGCGCATTTCAGGCCAGGTGGGGGCATCGTGGCCACTCCCCTGCCTGGGATTCCCTCTCTGACACCAGGCTCTGAGCTTTGGGGAAAGTTAGACAGGAGGACTGGGGCTGTGGCTGTGGCCCAAAGACCCGGTTCTTGGACAGAGGAAGGCCACCAGCCGTGGACACAGGACAAAGAGACATTGCCATTCCTGAGGCTTTGTGTGACCTCCCAAAGGCCAGGAGGGAGGTGCCCTTCCAGCCGCCCACGGGGCCTGGAACCTGACTCCTGGGGTCCCCTGGGGCCCCAGTGCAGGCTGGTGGAAGCCCCGCTGGAGGCTGTGCAGAGCCAGGTCCAGACAGATCCCACTGCCCGCCACACACCCTCGGCTCAGGCAGCTGCACAGCCAAGCGCCTCAGCCTCTGTGGGCTGCTCCGAGGGGTGTTCAAGTGAGAGAACGGGCAGAGGCCCAGGAGCACTTCCCACCACAGCCTCAACGCTGGTGGGCACCGCTGGCACCCAGACCACCTGGGAGAAAACCTCTGCTCCTGGCTTTAGGGCAGTCACCTCCAGTGACTAGAGGTCCAGGATGCTCCCTGGGATGTGGGCAGCACGTCTGCCTGTCAGGCTGGGCTGGCTGCCCTGTGCACCAGGGGGTCCCGTGGAGTTGGACGCAGGCTCCTCGAGACTCTGCCCCCAGCGTGGAGCTGCCCTGCAGCGGCACTGAGCCCTGCCTGGGCCCCTTCCTGGGCGGGCGTGGGGATCCCTGAACCAAGCCGGCGGTGACTGTCCTCTTGCTTACAGCCCTGACGAGGAGTCTTCGCAGAAGTTCATTCCCTTCGTGGGGGTGAGTAGCACGAGGCGGGTGTCAGCTGTGCCCAAAGCCTCCCTCAGCTCTGCTGCCTGCCTTTGAGGGTCAGGTGGTTCCAGTCTGATTCTGCGTCAAGTTGATGCATTTCAGAATCTTCTGCACCAATTTCAGCTGAGGTCTTGCCTTTGACTGCCTTCTACCTTATTAAAGGTTCCTGTCTTCTTCCCGTGTGTAGCAGGGGGTGAGGAACAGGCCCCTCAGCACTGTTCTGTGTCCCCTGGGTCCCGCTCGGCTCTGTGGTGCCCTGGCCACAGGGCTCAGTGCGGGTCCTGCCAGGTGTGGGCTACTGCCTGGCGTCCAGCAGGTCCTCCTCTCTCGTGAGGGGACGAGGGGCTGCCCGTGTCCGCAGCCTGCCATCCACCACGTGACCCCCAGCTGAGGTGCCATCTGAGAGCCGTGGCAGCCTGGCCAGGGGGCCTGGTCCTGGGGGAGTCAGTCCAGAGCAGCCTGTCCCCTCTGAGGTGATAGGAGGCCGGACTGGGGATGGCGGCAGCCGCAGCCCCTCAGGCAGCAGGACGGCCACTAAGTGGCCCGTCTGCGACTTGTCACTAGGATTGGACCTCACGTGGCCCTGCCTGGTCCCACAGGTGTTGCAGCACCTGGTGCAGGCGCGTGGCCTCTGTCCTGGAGCTGGGCCAGGCTGTCAAGCCAGGTCCCCGGTTGGCCAAGGGCTGCAGTGCGGGGCTGCAGGGGCGCAGGCCTCACAGATCCCGAGCACTGGATGTGGCTCGGGTCCAGCCCAGGGGCCACCACGGCTGCGGACCCTGGGAGCACAGGGCTGCCACGTAGCTGGCAGCCCCTCACAGTCTTCCAGGCACACCCTTGTGAGGGGGTCCTTACCACTCCCACGTCACACCGACCCCCGGGCAGCGGCTGCCCTGAGGTTGGCCCTGCCCACAGATAGGATGGCTTGGACCCACCCTCCCCAGCAGCTCCTTTTGGGGGGCCTGGAGCCTCAGGACGCGGCCGCTGCCAGCCAGTGCCTGTCGCTTTCCAGGTGGTGAAGGTTGGAATTGTGGAGCCGTCCTCAGCCACGTCAGGTAAGCCTGTTGTCCCAGCACTGTCCTCTGCAGGGCCCAGAAGCGGAGCTGTGTCCCCGGGGCCCACCCCTACCCACCACAGCCTCCACTCACCTCCGATGCCCCCACCCGGCCTACGGACGGCCCTGGGGCTGCTGCGGGGAGCTCAGAGCCGTTCCCCTGCTCCCTCCCCAAGGAGACTCCGATGACGCGGCCCCCTCTGGCTCCAGTGTGCTTTCGTCCACCCCGCCGTCCATGTCTCCTGCCGCCAAGGAAGCCTCACCCACCCCTCCCTCCTCCCCATCTGTGAGCGGGGGCCTGTCATCCCCCAGGTAAGCGCAGGCAGCTACTCCCCGACGGGCCGCCCACCTGACTCCCCCCCCCCCCCGCACAGCCAGCCCGGGTTGGAGGAGGAACACTGGCTGCCCCAGTGTTACGAAGCTGAAGGGCTGATGGGGGTGGACTCAGAGTGGTCAGAGCTGAGAGGACACGGCTTGCTCAGATAGGGGGCCCCCATGATGGGTGGGCGCAAGTCCTGGGCTCACTCAGGAAATAAATGGTGTCACTAAGGACAGAAACCGCAGAGAAGGGAGAGGCAGGCGCTCTGTCCGCAGATGGGGCCTGGGAGCCACGGAGCAGGTAGAAGGTGTCGGGGGTGGCACGTGGGGGGTTAACAGCCCTTTGCTGTCCTTGGGTCTCAGGAACAGAACTCAGCAGGCGAGACTTAAGTGGGGTCTGGGGGGGTCCTCGCAACTGCGGGGGCCACAAGGGACAACCCAGGCTCTGTGGGGGCCATGCCTGGGATGAGGCAGATTGACCTTGGCCCTCCAGACCCCAGGGGCAACTTGGGACTGCCTGGCCTGTGGACTCTGCCAGGACAGCACGGGTAGACCGGGCTGTCTCAGGAGACCAGGACGGGCCCACAGAGGGCAGCGGATGGATGACACCTTCCCACCTGCACCTGCCCCCAGGAGGCACTGTCACCATCTGAGGACGCACAGCGAGCCTCCCTCTGCTTCCCCAGCCAGGGTGTCGGTGCCGAGCTGATGGGGCTGCAGGTGGATTACTGGACAGCAGCCCCACCCACAGACAGGAAAAGAGATGCGGAGAAGAAGGACCTGCCCACCGCCAAAAACACGCTCAAGTGCACCTTCCGGTCCCTGCAGGTCAGCAGGCTGCCCAGCAGTGGCGAGGCTGCAGCCACGCCCACCATGTCTATGACAGTGGTCACCAAGGAGAAGAACAAGAAGGGTGAGTGGGGGACTGCCAGTGGGGGGCCCAGGTGGGCAGGCAGGGGTCCCAGGGCCTCCCCTCGGCCCTGAGGGAACAATAGGGCGGCCTGGCCCCTTCTCTTCCTAGTGATGTTTTTGCCCAAGAAAACCAAGGACAAGGACGTGGAGTCCAAAAGCCAGTGCATCGAGGGCATCAGCCGCCTCATCTGCACCGCCAAGCACCAGCAGAACATGCTGCGGGGTGAGCACCGCTGCCAGCCCCACGCCCGGCCCCGGCGGCGCCGTGGAGCAGGAGGGGGCCCACTCGGCACGTGCGCACCCAGGAGCACCCGTCTGGGACGCTCCTCTCAAAGCCCGAGTCGTGCGTCTCGACGCAAAGGGGACCCACAGCAGGACCCGGAACCGGGGCTCGGAGGAGCAGTCTTTTCCCATGAGCTCGGGTCTGGGGACCTTGCGGGTGGAGAACCCCTGCTTTCCTGCCTTGATTTTCTGGTCGAAGTGTAAGGTGTTTTCCATCCGTCTTGCAGACCTCTGCTGAGCCCAGGGGGTGAGGGCCAGCAGCCACCATGGTCAGGGAGAGGTCATGGTCAGAGCCACAGTGGGTGGCTGAGGGCAGACGGCAGACAGACCTAGCCAGCAGGTCCTTGCCCGCTGGGAGCCTGGGAGTCCCTGGGGGTAGCAGTCCCTCCAGCTTGTCTTAAGCACAGGCCGAAGGAGGGCTTGGTGCACGCCCCCAGCTAGCGGGCAGGGCAGGGACTCAGATGGCCTTGTCCCCGCAGTCCTCATCGATGGCGTGGAGTGGAATGATGTGAAGTTCTTCCAGCTGGCAGCCCAGTGGTCCTCCCACGTCAAGCACTTCCCCATCTGCATCTTCGGACACTCCAAGTCCACCTTCTAGCCCCGCCCGCCGCCCTCCATGGCCAAGTCCTGGAGGGCACAGCCGCTTTTCTGTTAACATTGCAGTTTACTACGGAGAGAGGCCTTGAAAACACAAAGAGAAACCGTCTTAAGTGTGAACGTGCTCACAACCTGGAAACTAACGGTGGCCCCCCCACTGGGGGTCCCCTAACTGCTCTGCTTATTAACCAGAATGCTCCGGCAGGCTGGGGGCCAGGCGGCAGTGCCGGGCTGCGGTGTCACGGTCAGTGCACTTCAGCCTGTTTGCCTCCCCCAAGAAGGATGCTTGCCTTTGAGACCTGCCCTCCCCGGAAGCCAGGACTCTGCTTCCCTAGGGAGCCCGCTCCGGCAGGTGGCCCGTGTGCCCAGATGGAGCTGGGTGCCAGAGGCCAACAGCCAGCCCCCTGCCAGGGGCATGCTGAGCGAAACACAGAAGCCAGTGAGCCCGGCCCTGGGCCCCAGCCGCCAACCAGCCAAGTGGCCCCAGCACCACTCACCGGTGGTTCTTAATAAACTCCAGCCTGGGGCAGTGGAGGTTTTACAGTATCAGGTATTTTTCATGCCTTTAAATACATGTTACAACGTAGCTGCCAAGCAAGTTCTTGTTCTTCTGAAGCCCCAGCCACTGGGCTGGGCAAAGCCAGCCAGTTCCTCCCACGACCCACCCCTGGGGCTGTTCTTGAGACACCTCCGTGCTTTGGTGAGCTGTCCCTGCTCCAGACTTGGCAAGCACATTGGCCTCCCCCTGCCTCAGCCGCTGCCTGCAGGGTGCAGGTGTCACCTGGCAGCACTGCTGTGGCCAGTGAATGCTCAGGCGGTGGGCCTGGTGGGTGCGGCTGGGGTCGAGCTCCTTGGAGTTAGGTTGTGGGTCTGGGTCCTCTCCTGGACAGCAGCCCCACCCTCTGCCTTCCCACGCAGCAGGAGAGGGCATCCTGCCCTGCAGCCAGGGTCCCCCCCAGTCTTGTGCCACTACATCCCAGGTCACCGCAGCACAAGTCCCCCAGTCTCTGCCCCTTGGTAGTCATGGCCCTGGGACCTGGTGCCTAAGGCTGAGAGGCACACAGACTGTGCTCAGAAAATGGGCTGCGGGTTGTACCAGTCTCTAGAGACAGGCTTCGCCAACACCCTGCGGCCCAGAGGGGCCCCATCCCTGGGGGAATAGAAGATGGCCCATCCTTCTCACCTGTACGCTCCCTGTTACCTCCTCCCCCAGGGAGCTGCGCAGGGTCTGAGTGTTGGTGGTCAATGGCCCTGGGCTACTTGTCGGACAGGACTTGGGCATGACCTCAGGAACCTGTGGGCAGAATGCTGGGCAGAGGGCCCCCCCCCCGCCCCCATGATGGTACCTCCTTGCTAAAACTCACCTTTTCCTACTTGCCTGGACCAGGTGCCTGAGGCTGCACCCTGGCCTGAGGCCCTGGCTGGCCCTGGGAAGAACCTGGGATGAGGATGTACCCTGAGCTCACGGCCTCTCCGGCGGCCTGTGCAGCCTGCCTGCAGCTGCCCAGTGAAGCACAGAGACCTTGAGCCTCCTACCCAGCCTCACCACTGGCCCTGGCCTTGGTCACTGCTCAAGTGAACTTTGCAGAGGTCACACTCAGCAGGAAGGAGGTGTAGGTGAAGCACCCTTGACTGCACTTTCTAGCTTCAGAGCTGGCTGCGGGTGGGCCCTTGTGTGCATGAGTGGGGGTGCCCAGCATCTCTGCCCTGTGCCCCAGGGCCATGGAGCCTGGCTGTGGAGTCCTGTTACTGAGTAATCTGGAGCCCACCTGCCACACCATCCCTGGGCCTGAGAGGTCGTGCAGGTGCACAGCTGCCACAACCCTTTGGGAGACCTGCTGTGTCCTCACCTGCACCTCAATTTCCACACTGGCTCAGTGGAGCTGGTCACGTTTCCCCTCCCCCCCTCTTGGGGTTGTTCTGAGGACACATGGGAAAGCACTCCCTCAAAGAAAGGGCACGCAGAATTAAAGCCGTCTGTGGCACCAGTGTGGTGGGGGGAGGGGTGGGCGGCCCCTCAGCAGGGTCTCCTAGCCCACGGGGTGACTGCAGGCAGTTGGCACTTGGTTAACCCACCAGTCACCATGGGCCACAGCAGGCACCAGGGAGGTGGGGGCCAGACCGTGCCCTCATCTGTAGCCCAGGCCACGCCTGTTTGTCCCCTGGTTCACTGTCTCCTCGGGGATCAAAGGCCAGTGTCCCGAGGCAGTTTTGCGGCCGCAGCCTGCAGAGGAGAGGACCTCTGGAGCAGCTGTCAGGATCCGAGTGGCCACAGCCCGGCGTGCTGTGCTGCCATCACCACACGTGGGAAGACCAGACTGTCCTTTGGGGTCTGGCCCTTGTCCTAGGACAAGACCCTGCCACTTGCTCCGAAGGGCCCGCAGCCTGACCACCTATTTCTTGACCCCTCTGCCCTCCGTGGGCCGGGGAAGGAGAGCATGTCCGTGTGAGGGTGGCCCTTACAGGTTTCCGCAGACCCCACCCCATTCAGTGAGCATTGTGTGGTCTCCAGGTGTTTATCTTCCTAGTTCTTTTTAATGGCAAGCACTATTATTACTAGACTTTTGAGGGGACAGATTCTTATCTGTCACGTGTGACCACACAAAGGATGTCAAGGTGCTGATGCGACACTAATAAACCTGGGGAGGCTTAAGCCCAGGCCCTCCGTCGCCTCCTGTGGGATTCCTGGGCGAACACAGCAGCCCCTTCTGTCCAGGCTCGGATCTCGCCCCAAATTCCCCACAGGGAAACGGGCCTTGGCGCCGCGGGGAGGGCGCTGTGGGGCCTGGAAGACGCCCCCACGGGCCTGGGCCCCACCGACCGAGCGTGCGAGGCCGGGCGCCGCAGTGCCGTGCCCCAGACAGACGCCCCTGGTGACGGACACTGACGACACAAGTCCGCGTAGCGGTCCCCTGGCCCGCCCGGCCCCGCCCGGCGCCGGGGCGCAGGCGCACCACAAGGCGGAAGCGGAAGCGGTGGGGCCGGGCCGCGGAAGCAGAAGGTCTGCGAGCTGGACTCCGCCCTCTCAGGCCTTCCAGGGTGTCCGTGGGCCCCACCCCTACCCTTTGACCCTCCCACCGAAGTGTCCCGATCTCTCCCCACCCCACTGCACCCCATCCCTCTCTTGCTGACCGTTGTAACACGCTCCCTGGTTTCCTTCCACTCCCGCTGTGCGGCCCCCTGACCCAGTCAGCATGTGGGAGGCCTGGGCCTGGAGAGGGGGCGCCCCTGGGGCAGCTTGCGGGAGGTGGAGCAGGACAGGGTGCCGAGGCTGCTCCAGCCTGGGGGGCCCTTGGGGACAAAAGTGGCAGCAGGAGTTGGGGGGCTCATCCAGCACTGTCTGGCTAGTGGCAGCAGGTGAGCCTAGCAGAGCCTGACACTGCTTCCATCTGTCAAAGGGACAGACTCAGGCAGCTGTGGGAACCCAGGTAGCTTTGGGGCCCTTCCCCCAGAGCCCAGAGGTACAGACCAACGGGCCACCAGCAGGACATGAGCAGCAGGAAGTGTTTGCTTACAGATCCCCCTAGGGAGAAGTCGGGGCCACAGCTGCCCCAAGGGCACAGACTGGCCTCTCCCTCCCCCAGCCCCACTAACACCTGGGGCCAGCCAAAGCCCCAGAGCAGCAGCCAGCAGGCACCGGAGACTCAGGACTGGGTAAGCAGAAGGGAGCCTGGCCTCGGCCACCCCAGGGCTCCCTTGCAGGAGCCACAGGCACTGGTTCTGGAAGTGGCTGGTCAGGTGCACGTGGACGGATGGGGCTGATGGCACCTGGGCCCAAGTGGCTCTGGGACAGGGGGCCCAGAGTATCCGTTCTCTTCCCAGGAGCGATGTGTGTGGGCACTAGGCTGCATTTGTAGCCCTCCCGCCTCCCATCACTGAGGGGGGTCTGCCTGCCTCTGCTGCGTGCTGGGGAGAGGGGCCTGCCTCCTTTCTCCCCAAGCGCCCGTTCCCTGGGCCATGCAGGTTGCACCAAGTGCAGGGAGCCCAGTCGGGGAGCTCTGCCCTCCCAGTGGGGATGGGACAGTGTCCTGCCCACCAGGCCAGCAGGCGGTCCACAGAAGGCCTTGTCTGAGGAGGTCATTCTTAGAGGCTCTGCTTGTGATGGCCGCAAAGGGCAGGTGCCTCTGTGCTCCCAACAGCTGTGTGATTCCCACACAGCAGCAGCCACAAGTGTGGATGGGGCACAGCCTCAGGGGATGTCTCGTGAGCAAAGGAAGCCCGATGCCCGGCTTCTGTGTGGTTCCCCATGTGTAGGGGTCAGAGCCTGGCCCAACGCATCAGGCGGGGACAAGCCAGGCGCACGGGGTGCTGGCCATACAGCAGGTTCAGTGTGTGGGAGCCCATAGACCCGAGTGCTCGGACAAGTCTGCTTGTGTGTGCGTGGTCTCAGGCTGACCTAAAAAGATGGCAGGGAAGAGAGAGCAGGCTCCCCAGCTGCCCGAGGGGGCCGCCCTGTGCCCTCCCAGCCAGGTTCCTGGCCCAAGGGCCTGTGTGGTACCTGCCAGGGTGCATGGGAACCAAACTGGCAGACCCCGTGGCTGATTCCTCAGGACAGTGAACCCAGGGTGTAAATGCACTAGTGTGTCACCTGTGTGTGGCAGATGTGGGGCCTCAGACTTTCTCCTGCGAGGACGGAAGGGCCTGGCGGCACTCTCGCAGGGCAGACCCTCCACACACCCTGTTAGCAGTTCTGAGCAGTGGGCAGATGGCCACGGGCCACTGGCAGGTGGGGAACGAGGCCAGGGCCAGGAGCAGGAAGCAGGATCGCAAGGCCCAGTGGGAGATAGCTCAGAGGAGAAGGCTTAGGGCAGAGACCCAGGAGAGGGCAGGCCCTTCTTTGCAGGCTCCCAGAGTGTGGTTTGGGGTCTGTCTCTACAGCTTTTACATCTCTGACCTTTGGCCACCCGACGTCTCCCTTCCCTCCTTCCCACCCTGGGGGATGTCAGCTGGTTGCTGTGGTATCAAGGACACACCAAGCTGCCCTCTCTGGCTGTCCTGCACGGTGCCCTCCCTCCTCGTCTTTCTCAGAGTGACCGATTCCTCCAGACCTCCCCACGGTAGGCCCCTGGTCAGGCATCGTCTCCCAGGGAGCCCTTCGCCTGGCTGACAGAAGTCAGCCCCAATGTTCCCTTTGTCCCCGTGTCTTCCCAGCCCAAGCCCCAAGGGAGCACCTTCATCTTCAAGGCTCATCGTAGCACGGCTGCTCACATGGGAGGCCGTGTGCTCACAGAGGCCAGGCTTTGAGAGGTCCCCGTGCAGGGTCTGCAGATCTGCAGCCCCCTGCAGTGGCTGACCAAGGTTTTGAGCAAGGCTTCCTAGTGAGCCTGCTGAAGTGACCTCAGGGCTGAGAGAGGGCAGGAGGGCTGCCCAACGGGGTGGCGGCCACATCCCAGTGGGGGGTGTGGGCTGGGCAGCGTGGGCAGGTCCACACTGGCTGTGTGGTGGGGGCAGCAGACACAGGTGCTGTGCCAGCCGCCAGACCCCAGCCCACCTGCCTTGGGGCTCTCAGTCTCCCTTTGACTGTGAGCTTGGTGCCGGGGAGCGCAGCGCCTAGGGGAAGAGCAAGCTGGAGGGACTGCCATCCCTCAGCAACCTGCGCCCTCTCGGACCAGGCGTCCCTGCAGCTGAACGAGGGGTGAGGGTGGTAAGAACTGTGGAGGCGGCTGCATGGCACCCTGGGAGGCCAGGGACCTGCCTGGTGGAGCGGAGGGACTGGAGTCCATCCTCGCCAGACCGGTCAGGAAGAGGGCAAAGGTGACTGCGCGAGGCCAGTGGCCTCCGCCAACATGAACTCCAGGAGAAGAGCAAACTAGAGAAGCATGTCCGATAGCAGAGACACACTGACCGGGAAGTAGGCGAACCTCCTTGAGACGAACTTTAAACACCGGCAGCGTCCCCCGAGACCAAGCGATGAGCACAGGCTCCCTGTTCTGGGTGAGGCTCTCCCAGGCGTCCCCAGGCCGGTGTCATGAAAGATAAGTGTCCCAAAACTTGTTTTCCAATTTGGGAACTGCTCAGATGGAAAACTGAGACTAGCTTAGGCATAGCAGATATGAATTCCTATCTCAAGCTTCAGTTTTGTAAGCAAGAGGGTCCTGGCACGTGATGTGTGAGCAGCAAAACCAGGTAGAAAATCTAGACATTGACCCAAATGCCTGCAGACAGGTGACGTGGGATGAAGCTGGCCTCTCAGTGCGTGTGTGGGACAGCACTTTTCCATCAACGGTGGTGGGCAACTGCAGCTATCCAGGAGAAGTTTGCAGCCATACTTCTCACTGAACATCACGATCATCTCCAATTAAGTATTGATGCCACAAAAGTACAAGAAGAAACCCTGGGGTGGGCGGCCCTTCTAGCCAAGCCTCAAAGCCAAAAAGCCACAGAAGAGAAGATGGATACATTTAACCACATGAAAAACAATCCATCTACAGCCCTGACTGGTATGAAATGTTTCTCACATGGATGTTTCTTCCCCTCCCTTTCTCCCTCCCTCTCTCTAAAAATAAATAAGATCTTTTTAAAACCCATGTCTATAGAGGAAAAATATGCACAAAGGGAGTCACAGCTCTTTGTTGGAGAAAGTACAGGCTTTTCAACAAATGGTGCTGGGACTCTGGACATCCACAAGCAGGAGAATGCAGTTGAACTCTTACCTCACGCTACGTAATTAACTTAAAGTGCATCACAGACATGAATGGAAGAGCTAAAAAAGTATAGGAAGTCCTAGAAGAGAATAGGAGTAAAGCTTCATGGCATTTGACTTGGCAATGATTTCTTGGATATGGCACCCACCACACAGGCAATAAAAGTAAAAGCAAGACTTCCGCCAAGATGGAGGTATAGGTGGATGTGCCGTGCCTTCTCACACAACCAAGTTTAGGGACAACTAAATATTAGCATCAGAAAACACAACCAGAACACGGAAAACTGAACTTTTCGGAAGTCTGCTAACAACAAATTCTTCAGCCCGACCGGTAAGGGGCGAAACCGGCGTCTGGTGAGGAGTTGCAAAGGAGGGCTCGGTCGGACCCGGGCGCGCGAATCCAGACGCGCGAATCCGGACACGCGGGTTCCAGACGCAGGATTGGACCTGGTGAGCGACCGATCGACCCACCGGGTGAGCGACTGCGGAGGAGACAGTGGGGAGGCGGTGCAGCGTGTTGACTGCGGTTGCCTGATTGCGTGCGCGAGCGAGGGAGTGGGTGGTTGGACCGGCCTTGGACCGGCTGCGGCGGCGAAAGAGGGCGCCGCCATTTCCCCGCTCTGACCACGCCCCCACATACAGCGTCACAACCCAGCGACCTGGGAGTCCAAGGCGCCCTTCTCACACTTAAAGAGCCAGAACAGACCAAAAATGTCGCAGGAAGACCTCAAAGCCCCAGAGATAAATCTAAGCGACGAAGAAATAGCAAAACTCTCAGACGCACAGTTTAAAACACTGGTTATCAGCTTCCTCACAGATCTGGTTGATTATAGCCACAAATTAGAGAAACATATGAAGGCTAAATTAAGGGAAATGAATGGAATTCCACAGGAAACCCATAGAGATGAAAAGGAAACTGGGACTCAAATCAATGGAGTGGACCAGAAGAAAGCAAATAATGGCCAAACAGAAAAGAGTGAAGGAGCAAGAATTCAAAGAAATGAGGAGAGTCTTAGGAACCTCCAGGACATCTTTAAACGCTCCAATATCCGAATTATAGGGGTACCAGAAGGGGGAAAGACACAGCCACCAGTGGAAAAATTATTTGAACAAATAATAAAAGAAAATTTCCCCAATCTGGCAAAGGAAATAGACTTCCAAGAAATCCAAGAAGCCCAGAGAGTACCAAAAAAGTTGGACTCAAGAAGAAACACACCAAGGCATATCATAATTACATTAGCCAAAATTAAAATGAAGGAGAGAATCCTAGAAGCAGCAAGAGCTAAGGGGACAATCACCTACAAAGGAGTCCCCATCAGACTGTCAGCAGATTTCTCAAAAGAGACCTTACAGGCAAGAAGGGGCTGGAAAGAAATATTCCAAGTCATGAAATCTAAAGACCTACAACCAAGATTGCTCTATCCAGCAAAACTTTCATTTAGAATGGAAGGACAGATAAGGTGCTTCTCAGATAAGACCAAATTCAAGGAGTTCATCATCACCAAGCCCTTATTATATGAAATGTTAAAGGGACTTATCTAAGGAAAAGAAGTTAAAGAAACATGAACAGTGAAAGAACAACAAACTCACAGTTATTAACAACCACACCTAAAACGAAAGCAAACTAAAAGAACAGCTAGATCAGGAGTGGAAATATAGAAATGAAGATCTCAAGGAGGGTTAGCAACAGGGGAGTGGGAGGAGGAGATGGGGGGAGAAGGTACAGAAAATAAGTAGCATAGACAGTAGATAGAAAATAGATGGGGGGGGCAAGAATAGCATGGGAAATATAGCACCTAAAGGACTTGAGACACATGGACATAAACTAAAGGGGGGTAATGGTGGGGATGGGGGGGCAGGGTGGAGGGGGAATAGAACAACTGTAACAGCATAATCAATTTAAAAAAAAATAAAAATTAAAAAAAAATAAAAAAAAACAAAAACATTTATATAGATATAGAATTAGCACTACCCATGTATAATACACAGTCTTATTTTTTCCTCAAAAATTTGGGCAAAAAAGTGTGCATTATATGTGGCAAAATATGATATATTAGTTTCAGATGAACAAAAAAAAAAAGTAAAAGCAGATAAATTGGACTTAATCAAACTTAAAAACTTTGATCATCACAGGACATTACAACAGAGTGAAAAGTAAATCCATGGGATCCGTAAAAATATTTGCAAATCACATATTTGATAGGGAATTAATATCCAGACTATAGAGAGAATTCTAAAAACTCAACAATAGTTAAAAAATCATACATTTCAGAAATGGGCAAAAGACTTGACTAGACATTTCTCCAATGATAAATAAATGGTCAAGCACATGAAAATACGCTCACCATCACCCTGGCTGGTGTGGCTCAGTGGATTGAGGGCTAGCCTGCAAACCAAAGGGTTGAAGGTTTGATTCCCAGTCGGGGCACATGCCTGGGTTGTGGGTCCGGTCCCCAGTAGGGGGCGCACAAGAAGTGACTGCACAATGATGTTTCTGTCTTTCTCCTTCCCTTCTGCCTAAAAGTAAATACTCTAAAAAAAAAGATTGGTAAACTTTATGTCTTTATCACAATGAGAAAACATGAAAAGGAAATAAGGACCAATTCATCACTGAGCAGAGGCAAACCTACTCGTCTGCACCCTGGTTGTGGCGCTTTGCTGGCTGCGTGTTTGAGCGAGGACACCAAGACCCTCCAGGGAATGGTGGCACGTGAAAGCAAATCCCAGCAGGAGGTGGGTCCAAGGGCACCGTGTGCCAAATGCAGGCAATGGAGGGACAGAGAGGGACTCTGAGAGGTTCTTGGGGCCCCACCCGCTGGCGGTGGGGCCTGGCCACTGGACTGGATGCCCAGGGGCACATGGGGCCAGCTGGCTGTGCTGAAAACAGATGCACAAGAGCACCTTTTGGGGCAGTGGAGCCCTTTCTACCCCACTGCTCCACGCCCGCAGGGGCACTGGGGCCAGGCCCAGAGAGACAGAGGTCGGCGTGGGCACAGTGAGGAGGACACGACGGCCCCTAGAACGCACAGACCTTTCACAAAGAGGGAGTTCCAAGTGGCCTGGAGGACAGTGAAAAGTATTGTGCCAGGGAAGTAAATGAGATTAAGGTGTTTGATCACAATGATCACAATAGGAAAAACCACCATGGATGCAAGTATTGGTGAAAGCTGGGGGGGTGGGTTAGAGCTGGCACCCCCTGCTGGCGGCAGGGGCTGGAAAATGGGGCCTAGAGCCATCCTGTCCGTGCTCAGCTCACGGACAAACTTCGGCAGCGGGACCTAGCAATCCTGCCTTGCTTCTGCGGGAAAATGAAACAAGTATGGCATTGTTCATTTTGGATGGTGCATCCTGAGTTTGTAAATATATTTTCCTTTTTATTTTTCCTGTGTGGCTGTTGTTCTCAGTTTTAAGCTGACCACATGCCCGAGGACACGCTGGGACAGGACAGCCCTTCACGGGCAGGCCTAGGAGTGTTCAAAGTGAGGAAGGGCAGTGACCTGCAGCCAAGATTTCTCTCCCCAGCAAAGCCATCATTTAGAAGGAAGGGCAGAGAAAGTGCTTCCTGAACAAAGTAAAGCTAAAGGAGTTCAACACCACCAAGCCCTTGTTATGTTCAAGGGACATATTTAAGAAAAAGATGATCAAAATGGTGAACAAAATGGCAATAAATTCACAGCTATCAAAAATTTAACCTAAACAAACTAAGCAAACAAGCAGAACAGGAACAGAATCATAGATAGGGAGAACATTTGAAGGGTTATCAGGCGCGGGGGGGGGGGGGGAGGGAAAATGGGGGGGAAGGTGCAGGGATTAGGAAGTATAATGGATAGGTATAAAACAGACAGGGCTTGTTAAGAATAGTATAGGAAATGGAAAAGCCAATTGTATGGCCCATGGACATGAATTAAGGAGGGAATTTATGGAGGGAATGGGGGTACTAGGCAGAGGGGGGAGAAATTGGGACAACTGTAATAACATAATAAAATGTACTTTAAAAATCTAAAAACAACAACAACAAAAAACCCAGGCTGGTGTTACTCGGTGGATTGAGCACCAGCCTGTGAACCAAAGGGTTGCGAGTTCGATTCCCAGTCAGGGCACCTGGCTGGGTTGGGCCAGGTTCCTCAGTAGGGGGCACATGAGAGGCAACCACACACTGATGTTTCTCTCTCTCCCTCTCTTCCTCCCTTCCCCTCTCTCTAAAAATAAATAAATAATTTTTAAAAGTAAAAATAAACTTGTCATCCCCTTGGCACTCCAGAGAGTGGCTGGTCTTCTCCCAGGAGGGGGCGAGAATTCAGACAGTGGTCCCTCGGGGTCCGGCCCACTTCTGGCCTTTCCCAGGTGGTGCCGTGGCCTCCAGTTCTCGTGTCCTGATGGCTTCCTCTGCGTTGTGTTTTCCCCTTCATCTCTTTCTGGTCAACTTTAGATGGGCTTGGGGAGACAAAGCCGACCTTCCGGCCTTGCCTTTTGGGGGTGCACATTCTCCCAGCCCCCAGTGTGCGCACCACAGCTGCAGGCCACGTCGGCACCGGCTGGACCAGGAGACCTGGCTGAGAGGTCTTACTGTCTGCGAGCCCAGGGCACAGCCCAGCAGGGCGGGTGCGGGCGGGTGCCGGCGTGTCCGGTGCGCAGCTGCTGTCCGAAGCTGCGCGAGGTTCTGTCCGCTGCTGTGGGAGCTGGAGCTGGGTCCTGGGGGCCCGGCATCCGCCACGGAGGGTGCAGAGAGAGGGCTGGTGGGGGCGGGGACCCGGTGCATGGCTGGCATGGACTGCTGCCCTGTCTCCGCAGGTGAGCGAACCACAGGAGAGCCGGTACCCGAGTCGCCACTGGAGCCTCAGCATTGATGAGCGGAGGCAGCGGGCCACACGGGGCTCCGCCGGGGTCTGCGCCCACTGCCCGGTGCGGGGACAGGGCAAGGGGTGTTGGGGGCGGTGGTTGCAGGGTGCCCCCTCCCCGCCCCCTGACCCTGCTGTCTCCCCAGGACCTCCTGCGGGTCTTGACCCAGCTGGCGGACGAGGTTGTGGACAAGGACGTGCTCATCCCCCACCCGAGGCCGCCTGCCCACTCCACCTTCCCTGGCCGCGCCCTACTGGCCCTCGGCGAGCCTTCCACACACAACGTGACTTCAGGGGCCCAGGCTTCCAGGTGGCCGCCCTCCTAAGAGCCCGCCCACCCCCACCACCTGTCTTGCAGCACCTTTCCAGGGGAAGCAAAGCCACTGTGGGCCCTCCTCACGGACACCTCACCCTGTGGGGCATGACCAGCCTCCACCCCACCAGACTGCTGGGCTCGGGATGCCTTCGTGGATCGCACAGCCAGATGCCCCCTTCCTCCACCGCAGCCACTGAAATTAAATTTGTTCCAGGCCTGTGCATTTCTTGGGACTGACCACTAGGGTAGGTGGTGGTTGGAGCTGGGGGAGGTGTTGTAAGGGGTGGGGGAGGGGGAGGCAAGGCTTTGGAGGACATCTGACCCCACCCCACCTGCTCAGAGACCCCTGATGGCGAGGGGTTGGGTGTCAAGGGCCACAGCCCACTCCTGCCCAGGCTGCCAGCAGGGCAGGACGGGAGGGTGCTCCTGCCCTGCCCTGGCCCAGGTGACAAGTGCTGTGGATTCCTGTTGCTGAGTGGCTTTGATGGACTCCGGGTCACACCTGCGGACCCAGGGCTCCACTGGCTCACCCTGCCGCTTTCCTGGTCTTGCTCAGGTGTCTCCTGAGGCTGGTGTGGCCAGCCCTCTGCCCCCTGAATGGTCTCAGGCCTTCTCTGCACAAGGTGTCCCCAACCAGGAGCTGGTTCCAGGGGGCCCCAGCAGCCCCCCACCACAGTGTCCCAAGCCAGGGAACTTCAGGGGTAAGACCTTGCACTGGGAGCCTCCTTGGGGGGGGGGGGGGGGGGGGCGGGGACACAGGGCCAACCCAACTTGTGGGGCAGGAGCGCCACCTGTTGGTGGGGCTGGCACAGAGCCTGTCACACTGGGTACCGCCGCACTGACAGATCGCCAGGGACCTCATGTCTCTGTGTGACTGGCTACAGTCAGGCTGTGAGCAGGCCCGGCTCCTTTCTGGGGGCTGCAGGGGACCTTCCGTCCATCCCTGGCCTTTTCAGCTTCTGGAAGCTGCCCACACCCCTGGGCCCGGAGCCCCTTCCTCAAGCTCCCAAGCTGGCAGCATAGCGCCCCCTGGCTTCCTTTGAGTGTCACATCTCTGTCTCCTGCCTCCTCTTCCTTTTAGGGACCATGTGATTGCTGGGTCCACTGGGTCACCCGGGACACTAAGGCTCTCAGGTTGGCGAGCCTCACCCACTTGCCATGTGACCCAGTGCAGTCACAGGTTTGGGGGAGGGAACTGTGCCTTCCACGGGGGCTCTGATTGGTTGGGGAGAGGCCACGTGTGCTGCTCAGCATCCCAGAGCCCTGGATGCCCCCCGACAACTGAGATGACCAGACCCCAAATGTCAACGGTGCCCCTGCTGGGAGCCCCTGGAAGAGAGGAGCGTCTAAGAGAAGGGCCCACCCAGCAGACTGGCCAGGCAGCACCTACCTGGCCAGGACGCCCTGGCCCCCACTGACAGCGGACACTGCCTTGCTGTTGCCACACATTCCTTCTCTCTTCTGAACTGTCCCTTCACGTCTGCTTCCCCACCAGGCGGGTCTCCCCCAGCTCCAGGAGGGTAATGCGCCTCCCTGGGCCTCACAGGGCCACCCGAGTCATGGCTATCAGGGTGCCTTGGCGGCAGGGAGGACAGTCTCCGGGGTGCAGGCTCCCAGGGCGGCCACGTGGTTGCCCATGTGCCCTGGAACCCGTCTGTGCCTGGGCATCAGGCTGGTGTGGAACAGGGGTCAGAGGCCACTCTAGATACCCAGGCTGAGAGGGGGCCCTCAGCCCAGCCCCAGGACAGCCACGGCCCCTCAGTGTCCCCCCAAATAAATGGCTTTTTTTCGGCTTTGCAAGAACACTCTCCCACAACCAACGAGAGTTTTAAAAAGGTGGCCCACTGAGGTACCACAGCTGGCATTTGGTGAAGGCCACACAGATGTGTCTGAGGCCCAGGCGGGGTCAGGGGGGGTGTGGGGGCGCTGAGGAGAGACAGAACACGTGCAGGGCTGCTCCTGCCACATCAGGGTGGCTTCCCAGAGAAAATGTGGTCACTGAAGTGAGTGAACACTTCCTTGCCCCACGTTGGAAAGGCTCTCCTCAGAAACCACACAGGGACAGGTGTCCCTCAGTTGGGGACAATGTTGGCTGACTGGCCTTGAGCCACGAGGAGCTGGCTGTGCTGCTTCCCGTGAGCCCTGTACAGAGTCGCAGAGGCAGAGGCTGCTGTGTCTCCCCTCCTGAGCCCCCTGGGTCCCCTGGGCCCCAAAAGCCGGGCACCAGCTCAGCCCCGTACTTGGCCCCAGGGTCTGTGGTGGCTGCATCCTCACTGCTGGATTCAAGGTCGGCTTTTACATTTTTAAAGACCTTTATTTCTTGGTGGGCTGTGTCTTCTGGGGGCCTGTTAGCTGGGGCACTTGGCGGGGACAGTTCTCAGGCTCCGCCTCCAGCATTCAGGACACCGGGCTGGCCTGGCGTTTGGTCCTTGTTTGCAATGTTCTCCTTCTGACAGTTGCCACATCTTCACCCTTGGGGACACGGGTCTTGTTGGGTCGGGTCATGGCCTTTCACGTGCAGGCTTCTGTGAGCCCTGGGAGCTCCCCTTGCAGGTGTGGAGCCCTTCTCTGGCCCTCTCCCGGCTCCAGTGGCCCTGGCTCTGGGCCTTCTCCTCCAGCTCTGTGTCTCCCCCATCCCTTGGCGCCCTGGGACCCTTCTGCAGCATCAGCCCAGCACTTCCAGAGCCCTCCCCTCTGGCAAAGCCAGTGGCCGGGGGGCTGAGGCCCTGCACAGGGGTGTGGCCTCTGGGCCTCCTTCACAGGGTACTGACCTCTCTGCATGGGCTGCCACCAGGATCCTCACGGTGGCCCTGGGAGAGCACTGTAGATCGTGTACCCTGCCCTCTGCCCTCCTCCCCACCAGCCTGCAGCCCTGGAGGCACCCACCCAGCGCGCCTGAATTCCTGTTGAGCCTGCGACAGCATTCGAGGGAAGTGCAACAGCTTCGTCTCACCCAGGACGCCTCCTGCCCCTTGCTTTCTGGATGTCATCTGGCTGCAGGGTGGCTTTGAGGAACTGTCTCCTGGCCGTCATCTCACTCCAGTGCTGTGACTTTGTCCTCTAGTGGCTGAGCTCCTCATTTGGGGCACGGGTCCGATGGACGCCCCCCCAGCCCCTGCTCCCCACAGGGCCCTCTGTGGGGCTGTCCCCCTGTGGTTGGACCGTGGGTGTGGGTGGGCCTTTACCGCTCACGCCCGTTCTGACTGAAGTCTGTCTGCTCTGCTACCAAGTGGATGACAGATTTTTACTGTTCGCAACATACCTCCATGTGCTGACTGACTTGGCTCCGAGGTGGGTGACAGGCACCGTGTTGCCAGGGCTCCCTTGTTCCGCCGAGAGGGGCAGGTGGCAGCCCGCAGGGGGAGCCGATGCTGCTCCACTTTGTGGGGGCGCATCTCATCTCTCATGAGGAGGCTTAGAATTCACGTGGCTTTCCTCAGACCCCAGACCTTGACCCCCCACTGAAAGCCAGTCTTGACTGCCTGCCTTGCTGGATGGAGGGAAATGGTGGGCTTCTCCCCAGGGGTCTCTGGTACCTGTGTGCGGGGGGGAGTGGCAGAGCAGGGCTTCATGAGGCAGGGAGCGACAGGCTCTATCTCTCATGCCTAGCAGCCGCCTGGGTGTTTTCTGGGAGTCTTGACTTTTCAGTCAGTTTGGTAGCTGTTGGTAGAAGACTTGATGTGGCAGGTTTGCTTTCCAAGGAGACGCTGGCAGGAAGTGAGTGCAGGCTGGTGGGAAGGGAGGGGAGCATTCTAACCCTCTTTGGAGTATCATCCGCCTTCTCCATCCCTGAACTCCCGCCACCTACTCCTTCCCTCCACAACCGAGGTCCCACCCCCTGGATCCTCCTCACTGCCCTCCCGCCTGAGCTTCTGAGAGGCAGCGGCTCATTGCCCTCTGTGGACCCCCTTCTGGCTTCCGTCAGCACAGTTGAGCCCCCCCCCCCCCGTGAAGCACCCTGCACTCAGCTGTGGGCCTTCTCTGAGCTCCACCCCCTGGATGCTGCACTGCAGGTCCCACCGGTGTCCCCAAACTAGACATCGTCCCCTGCTCCAGCCACAGGCCTGCTCCATCTGAGTAGGCAGGGCGGTAACCCTGGGTTTTGCTCAGACCAGTTCCCTGGAGCCCCAACACCCCAACCCTGCGCTTCACCACGGCTGGGACGCCACCCCCTTGGCCTCCAGCTTTCTCCCCTGGGGCGTGGGGAACCCTGGTCTTGGCAGCTCCACGTGGACTGGACTCTCCTAGGATCTCGGGCAACTGCCCGCTCCCACAGACTCCACACCACACTTGATGGGGTGGGAAGAGCAGCAGGTGCCTCACCACACAGGCGCCCCTCCAGCCCCCCCTGTCCTCTGGGCATGGCACCCCTGTCACCCCAACCCCCGGATCTCGGGCCCCCGGCCTGCCGGACTCGCAGTCTCAGCGGCCCTTCAGGAGGGCAGCAAAAGCGCAGCCGCCCACAGCCTGTTCCTCCGGCCAGAGGCCGCCCGCTAGGAGGTGGGATGGGGTGGTCCCAGGGCGGGAGGCGGGCAAGGCTACGAGGGGTAGGCAGGGGCTGGGACCGGGGCCCGGGCCGGGGGCGGGGGAAGGTGGCCCCGGACGGAGCTGCCGGCCGCGAGGTCCCTCAGGAGCGGCTGGTGTTGAGAGACGGGCGGGAGGCCCGGGGGTGGCAAGAAGGGTGCGTGAGAGGGGCAAGGGCGCCGGGGGTGCCAGGAGGCCCCTGGGGGCGGCGGGAGACTCCCCGGGACCCCCGGAGTGTGCGGCTGGGGATGGACCCAACGGGCAGGGCGTGGGGAGGCCCGCGGGGGAGGGGCGGGACCGGCCCTGAAGGGGGAGGGAGGGGGCGAGCGGCGGCGGTAACGGCAGCGCAGAGGCCCCTCCCCCGCCGGCGCCGCTCCTCCTCTTCCTCTCCCGCCCGCCCGCGGCCTCCGTCCCTGCGCGGCCTCGGCGGCGGCGGGGGAGGCTGCGGCCCCTTTAAACCACCCGCCCGCCGCGCCCGCGCCCCCGCCCGCGCCCGCGCCTCCATTTTCCAGGCCGCCCGCCGCCCGCGCCCGCGGCCCGCCGCCCGCCGCCGGACATGGCCGCCAACATGTACAGGGTCGGAGGTAAGGCCGCGCCCGCCGGCCCCAGACCCCGCAGCCCACGCCCCGGCCCCTTCCCCGACCCCCACCGCCGTCCCCACCCCGCCCCCGGCCGCGCTCCCGAACCGCCCGGGGC